AAATTTTTTAGGACAATCAAAAAAAGAAAATTGACAAAGTCAGGTAAGATGTTCTGTAGTACTTCTTATTTATTTACACACCTATCATGTATACTAGTTTAGTAACGCGCGTTGCGCGTTCGTGGTAATGCCCAAGGCCATTGCAGGTAAAATGAATAAAGAAGACTTGTAAATATTACAAATGTTTTCCATGTAATATTTGTTGAATACTCCCTCCGTCCCATAATTTACTTCCAACTTTCCTTTTTCGTCTGTCCCAAAAAGAACTTCCATCTCCCTTTTTGGCAAAAAATTTGTGGTTCACAGTAATTCTTACACATTCTTACACATTTCTCTCTCCTCTGCACAACTCTCCACCACACAATTCTCACTTTCTTAATCCGTGTGCCATTTATACTATAGAAGTAAATTCTGGGACGGAGGAAGTACATCTTACCAAACTACATCCACATATAATAAAATATCACATACTCGATCATAAGACTTGTTTTCGGCCGGGAAGAAAAGAAGGGTGGAAAATTCTCCCACCTCCAAAAAGCATTCAATATCAGAAAATTTTTTGATGACATCATTGTTAGACTGGAGTATGAACCATAAATTTGGGCAGTTAAGTTGATGAATGCAATTTTTAATTCATGCTAAAAGAATAAGAATGTCTTGAAGAAGATTGGAGCTCGAAGGCTTGCTCAGCGTTGACCTCTTTTGAATGCAACAAAAATGTTTTTTATGTGAAAAAGGTTTGTTTCATAAAAGTGAAATAAGAACCAACCCTAAACAAAACTTGTCCTCTCAAGATAAGGATTATACAGAAACCTATATCAACCAAAGTTAGAGTAAATTGATAGGGAAAAAATAGCAGCAGCAGCTGCACTGCCAAAAAACAAGATGCAAACTGTCTGTGTGTCACAAAAAGGCAACAATCAAAGGCTTGTACTGTTCCGCTACACATTACTCCCGTAACCAGCTATTGCTTGGTTGCAGGTTGAGTAACTACATAAAGAGCTGACTGAGCACCAACCGATTGATCATAGCCATGTTTGATCATAACTTTGTTGACCACTGGCAGATGCTATTATGTAAGCTCTGTTTATACTCTTCATTCTTGAGGAGTTGTTCATTTGTGGTTGATATGTAAAGAGATTGCCAGAATACGTTTGTTAACTTTAACCTGACACATTCCATTCATCCATGTTTTCCTCACATCTGAGAAAAAAATAAAAATAATATTATGAACTTGTGAAGAGAATAAACAATCCTTGTACATATTTTTTAATTAGGTGTAAAAACTTAAGCAATTGAGCATTTAATACTATTGCATACAAAGTAGAAAAAACTTAGGTATTGCAATTTTTTAGTGTTAACATTTAGAAATTGTGAATGTGTGATAAAGATGGCTCATTAACTAAAAGAGAAATACTATAATGAAACATCATCACTCAATAAAAAATTTGTAAAGCAACTACTCCGTACTAATTATTGAAATACTTTGACATGGATCCATGGGCAATGAAACACTAAAAAGTGAAATTAGCTAATAAAGTTTCTTTTTGTAGTATAGGTGGACAGTTTAAGCAAATTATTCACTCTCAGGTTAAACACTGGTTAGTCACAACAATGAAAAAACTAAAATTAGATAATCTCTAAAATAAGATAAGCAAACAAAATCTAGAGCACTTTTCCTAACCGAAAATGAGATTAGATCCACCAAGAGCTACTAACAAAATTGAAAGTTTTAGATTTCAAAGTGGCATTTTATCTGTTATACACACATATATTAATTAATGAAACAATTGTAAAATGTTTGAGTTTCAAAAAGCTAAAGAAATCCAGATCTGAAGGTTTAGAATTGTACCAGAATGGTTGCTAAGAAATCATTTCTGCTTTACCGAAAGAAATGGACAGTCCCGGCTGAAAATGAAAAAAGGGACCAGAGAAGTACTCTAATTTTAATATAGGCCAAGGCTAATTAAGATGGGCATGTAAAAAGAGTACTCTTATGTTAAAATCAATTTGGATGGGATAGTAGTGAGAACCTTTTAGGTGAATTTTATTTGAAGGCCAAAATGAAGAAATATGATTAATCAAATAACAACCTTACTACACACATTAATAGAGAGAAGATGGTCTTTAAGCTTTAATATTGTAAATGTTGAACCTTATCACAATCTTACTGCACTGTTGGCGATGTGACACTCCCGCTAGATAGATCTGAAAACATTGAGCATCAATTATCATGAAACTAAACACAATATTACTAAACATTGAGCATCAATTATCCAAAAATATAAATAATTGGAGCTAGAGCTACAAGAAATCAAAAATATATATTTATAATATAAACATGTCAAATATATACCACTTTACCTTAGCTTCAATCGAGATTCGGGGAAAAACATTTTTGGGCGCTCCATATACATTATTAGGCACTATTTTGTAAAACACCCCCTATTATTCTAATTAGCAATCTTTAAAAAAATCCTTATTGAGACGTGTTAGAGGGATCTACTGATAATCAAAACAATTTTTACAAAAAAAATACATAGTAGAAATTAAATGACTGAAATGTATAAAACTTCTACCATCATTTTGTAGATATGATTCTATTTATATATTAAAACATACTACAATCGATAATTTTAAAGTGAAAAAATTTACTCTAATGCTGAGGTCAAATTCATCTTCTGCAGTTCCAAATTTCTGATGCCAGGGAGCTATCAAACCTGCAAGATGCCCCATTTCAGCTTTTCTCCCGCTTTGAAAAACACCATATCTCCCCTGTCCAAGGTTGGAAGACCTGCGGAACTGCTGCAATCCTTGATCTGGTCGCGATCTCCTTGGGTCTGATTTCTAGGATTGAAAACGATGGCCTGGATCTGGTCGTGAACTCCAATTGCACGTTTCAACAGTTGCGTCCCTGTACCCAACCAATCTTCTACCGAAATAAGCCTTGTCACCTTCGGGCTGCCATGGTCGTTGTACCTTGTAAGCGCGTTCAAATCCGTCGCGTTTCCGGATCCAACGCTCACCGGGATGTCTGAATTGATTACTAAAGCCCCACCTCCGGTGTCTCTTCCTTCGATCCTCGGGTCGTCTCTGCCAGGGGTAGTCACCGAATCGGTGACGGAAATCCTTGATCGGGAGTCTCCCTCGCGCTGTCCAAGATGACATCCCCTTCTAGGTGTTTTTTCTCTCTCTCTCAAAACATACACCCAGCGACGGGAGTCGAACCCTTCGATTAAAACATACTACAAATACACTTTGAGATGATGATGTGTGATGTATGAACAAATGAAACTCATTCCTTTCAGCCATGATACAAACTCATTCACTTAGAATTCAAAATGTTAGGGTTAACATTCACTGTAAAACAAAGCCACAACAAGAAGATTGAGAGCATCCTAACCCTTTTGCTAAATTGGACGAATTGGGCGTCTTTGGCACCTTTTTGGCGGAAGAGGAGCCATTGCATCGACAGGCATCAATGATCGGGGACAAAGTATAGTAGAAGAAGGGGAAACGGATAGAGCAGGAGGGAGTGAAGCCATAAGAAAGTGAGAGCTGGAGGATTTCTGCGGCAACCACTCTTACAGATGCCCATAATTATTACTCTCATTAAACTCTCATTAAAATACTCCGTATTTGAAATGCCTACGGAGAAATGGGGTTAACAGGTGTTAACGGAGGAAAAGCCTAGTTATGTACACATAATTAAAATTGTACAACTCTCATATCCAGAAGTACCACCCTATATAACATCAAAGGTACACCAACACATTTTCTGTGACCATTATATCCCTAACATTATTCATGCTTATAAGATGGTAGAGATCTAACGACCTATCTTCTTTTCTCACCTTAAACAGATCGGAATTGTCGATACTTTCCTTAAGTTACAAATGATGTCGGAGCAGGAGAGAAGGAGGGCCATATTATTAGACGTATGCAAAAAAAAAGATGAACTTGAGGAACTTTTTTTATACGGAGTACCTAATATTATATACTCCCTTCGTCCCTTAAAACTTTGCCAAATTTGATCGGCATGTGGATTAATAAAGTAAAAACTGTGTGGTTGAGATTTGTGCAGAGGAGAGAATTATCTGGAACCACAAATTCTTTACTTAAAAGAGAAAATGACAAAGTTAGTGGGACATCCAAAATAGGAAAATTGACAAAGTTCTAAAAGACAGAGAGTATTGATCCATCAACCTATTAGTTCTTTTTCTGAGATTCAAGGGGTTTTGACCTTAATATTACTAATAAGGGATAATTGACCAAAAAGTGACATTTTACTTAATTTTCAAAAAAGTGACTTAAATACTAACATGACCGCTACAGTAACGGCGCTACAGTAACGGCGCTACAGTAACAACGCTACAGTGACGATGCTACAATGATATTTTACAGTGACACCAATATTTTTTTATAGTGACAACATAGTGACTCCATTCCACGGTGTTTACCGCCCGTTCACCGGTCACAGTGACACATCATAGTGACACCGTTGTCAGTGACACCATCATAGTGACACCGTCACCGGTGACACCATCACAGTGACATGACTACCACTGGTGACACCGCCACAGTGACACGCCAACTTCGATGAGAGTCCCATCCTGCCCCTGCTCCTCACAACCCTGTCACCAGCCTACCTCGCCCTAGCGGCGGCTAGCGCCACCGCCGACCATCACCGTGTACAACCGCCGACGACCACCACCCCATCCCGGACCCCAATTGACTCCCCAGCCCTAGTCACCTTCCCAACCATCGACACTGCCCAATGACCGGTCATAGTGACACGCTGTCTCCCCATCCCTCCTTTACTCACAGTCCCTCAGCCTCGTCCCCAGCCTACCCCGCCCTAGCACCGCCGCTGGCCATAACCGCCGACCACTGCCCCACCACCGGTTTGACTGCCCAGCCCCCAGTCACCTCACCCCTCCCTAGCCCTCAACCCCTCTGATCCCCAGTCACCACCCCCGACCCCCAAATCCCCCACCCCAGGTCACTGGCACTTGTCTCATCTACAGCTCCCCCATCCCAATCCCCGAAACCAGCTCCCCCATCCCAATCCCCGAAACCAGCTCCCCCATCCCTGCCACCGCCGGAATCTGAAGCCACTGGCCACAACCGCCCCTACATAGCTCTCTTTTTTACAGATCCATCGTTGTCCTTAGATCTGCACTAGATCGAAGAAGCGTTTTTGTTCAGCGCCGCCATGGAGGAGTTTGATACCGCCGATCAAAAAGATCGTCCTGCGGAAACATCAGATCCTTCAACAACAGCGAGCTCCATTGAAGCCGGTGACGAGATTTGGCGTACAATAAGAAAGTAGAAGGAGAAGATATAGGCGGCGATAGAGGTAGTTGTGGCACTGGAAGGAGTCCGGCGTTGGAGATCGATTGCCATAGCTGTGCTCTCCAGATATGTTCGGTGCAAAGATAGAAGGCGCAGAAGGTCCAAATCGATGTTGCGTGCTGTGCGAAGGAGGAGGTCTCCAAGATGACGGGCCGGGCTGTTTATTTAGGTTATTTTTTTGTCCAAAAGAAAACTAGTCTTATTTTTGTCTAGTCAAAGTCCAGTGATGTTTTTGCCATTCTTTCTAGAATCAAAAGGTTGAAGCAGTCTCAGAAGACCTAGAGAGTTGTTGGAAATGAGCGAAAGAAACTCTGGATCTGTTGAAAAGCCTCGTCGAGGTTAATGCACAAAGAAACTCTAGATCTGATTTTTAGCTTTCTTCAAGGTTGGTTTTCTGATCTGCCCCCAAATTTCAAGTTGTCTGCTTCTTTGGTCGGTCTTTGCGTCTCTTTCTCTCTGTAGAATGTTCGTTTCCTAAAATCATCAGATACCGTAGATGGAAATCAAGATCAGATGCCTTAGTTTATACTAATTCATTTACTTCCCAAATTTTCATAGTCCAAAGCATCAAATTGTATTTTATTTTTATTGGAATAATATTGTAGTGTATTGTTTTTTGCTTGAGAAGTAAATTACGTTTAGCAAAAACAAGTTTGAGTTTTGCAAGCAAATCTTAACATATATTGTGGGAGGCAGGATGAGTCAATTAAGATTCAGAAATGTTAGCATATACTTTTGCGAGGAGAGCTCCAACTCCAACCTTTATTAGGGACACTTGTGGGTGGCATTGTGTCCAGCAAAAACAATTGAAAACAGTATTGTGAGTATATAAAGTTTGATTTTTTGTTTGATGATTAAAGTTTGAAGCTTTATTAGTGTATTGTCTTTTGAAAACCATACGACTAAATATTCAATAGATATCGAGCATTTATGCTGGTTGTTTTTTCCTTTTATACAATAAATATGATTTTCTAACTTGGGATATCAAAAGTCTCAAACTTCAGTGTGTTTGACCAGAACTGATGGTTGAATGACTCAACTTTTCTTCAGGATTTTTTTAGTTGCATAATCTTTTTTTCATTTGATGAAGATTATGGGTAGTTGTAGTATTAAGCACACAAAAGTTTGAGTACTGCAAGGAAAGCTCCAACCTTTGTTGTGGGAGAGTGCAGGGAGGTTTTATATCTGGTGAAGTCAAGTTGAAATTTTATTGGTAGTATTTAATTTTGAAATCTTTATGAGTATCTCTCTTTTACAAATTAATCAATCAAGTATCTACTGCCTTGGTTTCTGCATAAATAGTTTTGATGAGGCCACATTTTCTTTAGGTTCACAATAAACATGAGTTTGTAACTTAGGATATCAAAAGCCTCAAAATTTACTTTTGTTTGACTATGATTTCCGTTTAGTGAGGCCACATTTTCTTTAGGTTTCTCTTGAATTTGCATAAGATTTACTCAATTTGATTATTATTATGGGCTGTTGGATTTTTTAGCAAGAAGAAATTTGAGTCTTGCAAGGACAGCTTCAATCTTTATAATTTTGGAAGGCAGTAATTCTGTTATATGATATTATAAATCATAAAAGTCATTGGAAATTATATGATATTTGAATTGTTATTAGTATAGATCGTATTTGCAGTTAACATACAAATACAAACACACCTTAAAATTTGTTCTTCTAAATCACTCTTTGCCACATAATGTTTTGTATATCATAGACGTTTGAGTTTAAATGATTTCCCTATATAATTATATAAATCACTTTAGTGTTTAAATACTTGAATAAAAGAGTTCATTATTTACCGAGATTACAACACCAGCTGCATGGAGCATGGCTCTAAAAGATCCTCCACTTTGATACATGTCATGTGGACCCTTGTTGTACTTCTTTAGCAACTTTTTTCTTTCCCCAGAGCTCACATCACACTGCAGTATTTTTTGGAAGTACTCACGTGAGTGTACTAGTTCAATCAAATCTTGAGATGCTTCTATGGATGGTAATAGCTGAAACCTGAAAGACAAAATTATTTAAATAGAATAACATTGTAAAATGGGGTTAGAATAGCTTTAAAATATGTTTACACTTAATTTTCTATCTTTTACCTTAAATGCAAACCATCTTTCTTCAAAAGCTTCCATATTGCTTCAATTCGCTTCGGTTTTTCCAAGTGGTCTTTCGGACCACTATGCTTCATCATTATGTCATTATAGACGACTCCAACCGTCTTTTGACACTAAGATCATTAAACGGGAAAAACCAATCAATATCAACCTTCAAAAATTAATAGGCAGCCATTTTTTAATAGATCAGTCTTTAAATTCATCTTTTATAATTAAAAACCTAAGCTGATATACGTCTCATTCGCTACAAGAAGAAAAAGTTGAAGTGCATGACATATGACCATCAAGAGAGCAATTTGACCACTAAGTAAAACATGTAATATATTTGTATATTATAAAGCATGTAATATATTTATATATTAACAATTCTGATCATCTACGTATTAAACTATATTAATAATGAGTCTTTACACCTCTATGATCCCCCGGTAGATACATGGAGTAAGGAAGAACAGAACTACCAGGTCGCAAGATGAACTTCAACGGTTGCATTTAATTTAACTCATAAGATCATTTAACAAATGCTAGCATCCGTAGTGAGACAAATAAACAACATGAAGCAAATAGAAACGTGATCTCAACTCTGAAGACATGCATAACAAAACCGCATGGAAACTGTGTGATTATATACATGTGAGAGAGAGTGCATGAACAAGAGACTTACACTAGTACGATCAACAACTTTCTGTTCATCACGTGTAGCTTTAGTATGGCTAGACATTACTACACTATTGGTCATGCTACATTAATTCACCCTTCCAAAGTTTGAAAAAGTTCTGAAAACAGTCCTGTAATACATATTAGTATAATAGAAAACACGTCAAAAGTTGAGTACTATTATTAAATATATTTGTGAAACAAATAACTACTAATATAGGATAACTATAGCTCGGACTGTGAATTGAATAACTAAATTGAATACTATCTGGGTTTTTATGGTTTTTATGGTCTATAAAAACTTTGGATACAACTATAGTTATTCAATTTACAGTCCGGGCTATAGTTATCCTATATTAGTAGTTATTGTTTTCACAAATATATCTAATAATAGTACTCAACTTTTGACGTGTTTTCTATTGTACTAATATGTATAACAGGACTCTGTTCAGAACTTTTTCAAACTTTGGAAGGGTGAATTGATGTAGCATGACCAATAGTGTAGTAATGTCTAGCCATACTAAAGCTACACGTGATGAACAGAAAGTTGTTGATCGTACTAGTGTAAGTCTCTTTGTTTATGCACTCTCTCTCCCACACATGTATATACTACACAGTTTGCATGCGATTTTGTTATGCATGTCTTCAGAGTTGAGATCACGTTTCTATTTGCTTCATGTTGTTGTTTGCTTGTCTCACTGCGGATGCTAGCATTTGTTAAATGATCTTATGAGTTAAATTAAATGCAACCATTAAAGTTCATCTTGCGACCTGGTAGTTTTGTTCTTCCTTACTCCATGTATCTAGCGGGGGATCATAGAGGTGTAAAGACTCATTATTAATATAGTTTAATACGTAGATGATCAGAATTGTTAATATATAAATATATTACATGCTTTATAATATATTACATGTTTTACTTGTGGTCAAATTGCTCTCTTGATGGTCATATCTCATGCACTAAAACTTTTTCTTCTTGTAGCGGATGAGACATATGTCAGCTTAGGTTTTTAATGATAAAAGATGAATTCAAAGACTGATATGTTAAAAAATGGTTGCCTATTAGTTTTTGAAGGTTGAAATTGATCGGTTTTTCCCCTTTAATGATCTTAGTGTCAAAAGATGGTTGGAGTCGTCTATAATGACATAATGATGAAGCACAGTGGTCGAAAAGACCACTTGGAAAAACCGAAGCGAATTGAAGCAATATGGAAGCTTTTGAAGAAAGATGGATTGCATTCAAGGTAAAAGATAGAAAATTAAGTGTAAACATATGTTAAAGCTTCTAACCCCATTTTATAATGTTATTCTATTTAAATAATTTTGTCTTTCAAGTTTCAGCTATTACCATCCATAGAAGCGTCTCAAGATTTGATTGAACTAGTACACTCACGTGAGTACTTCCAAGAAATACTGCAGTGTGATGTGAGCTTTGGAGAAAGAAAAAAGTTGCTATAGAAGTACAACAAGGGTTCACATGACATGTATCTATATGGAGGATCTTTTAGAGCCATGCTCCATGCAACTGGTGTTGTAATCTCGGTAAATAATGAACTCGGTAAGTATTTAAACACTAAAGTGATTTATATAATTATATAGGGAAATCATTAAAACTCAAACGTCTATGATATACAAAACATTATGTGGCAAAGAGTGATTTAAAAGAACAAATTTTAAGGTGTGTTTGTATTTGCTTTTTAAGGTGTGTTTGTATTTGCTTTCACTTTTACGAAGTGATTTATTTTAGAAACTATATAAAAATGATTAATAGTAAAAGTTTACGGCGTTTGAAAACTAAGAGCTCATGTGTTTTACTGTTTGGTGAAAAAGTAATTTTTCATAGAATAGAAAATCATCTTTAAGCCCTCTTTGAATTGTAAACTTTGTTCAACTTTTAATTTAAACTGTTGTATTTCAAGTTGAAACACTTAATATAACATTTTTTTAATTTTTGAAAGAAAAGAAGATGAAATTACTTATTTTTGAACCATTGCAAACTTGCCCTTTTGCCCTTAATATCACACCTGTTAATTAAATAGGTACAAAGTTGACTATAATATTAGAATGTTGTCTATTTTCTCTGGCCCAAAACTATAATATTAGAATGTTGTCTATTTTCTTTATTCACTTTCTTATGCCGTGAACCAGCTGATTTCATCTCCGCGGCCCGACCTCCTTTCTCTGACTTCTCTTTATCTTCTTCGATAAGTGTGTGATGTTGTCGCATTGGCAATCCCTCATATTTAGCAATCGGCTCTTTCATTCTTGAACATTTTCCCAACGTAATTCACAGTTAGGAACTAAAGCGGCGTTTTCGGGAAATTTGGTAGCGGGTAACTTTATATACTACATATATAAATAATCAATTTTGAAGGCTCTTTTAATTGCTATCTTTTTGTAGGTTCTCTAAAATGAGATTAGAAGTCAAGGCAATGACTCTGAACTTATTTGGCATCCTTAATTGTAGTTTTACAGTTTTACATGGTAGCAAGAATTTTCAAACTAAAGTTAAAAATAATTTGATTTTATTTCAAATGTATCCATATTCATTACATGCATTGAGAAATTGTGGTTTTACAGATGTATTTGGAACACATAAGTTCAGATTATAGAAATTTGTGAATATGACATTTTCGGGGTTTCGATTCTAGAAATAAATATAGATATTGAATTTGAAGACAAATTTTTACAAACACACAGTCACATGTGTGTGTGTATTCTGCTAAGCTTTTGAAAATAATAAATGTGACATGGGAAATGTAGTACTCCCTCCGTCCCACTAAGATTGTCCCTAAGATTGTCCCATATCGAATTTGGTAAAGTTTGTGTGGCTTTAAATCATTTTTACTTTATTCTTACTTTATCAATTCAATATCAACCACAAAAACTCATTTTTCTTAATAATCGTGTCACCTCTTCATGTCCGAGGACGGAGGTAGTACTATTTAAGAAAGTACATAAATCTTAATCCTGAATTTTCATATCCAAATTATTTTTCAAATAATGACTTGTATATTCAGTTATTTATAGGATTATTAACAAACCTCGTTCTCATCATAACAATATCCATTTGCACTTTTCAATTTCTTTGGAATTATACATCTTAGGAGAGTGTTGACAAAGTTTAATACTTAGAAATATTATAATTTTAATCTACAAATCTAGAATGCAAAAACATTTTAACCGGCTAAGCATGGTATGGTTGTTACGTTGTACATTGTCACCAAAGGGATTCTTCTTCATCAAGTACAAATATAATCTATATGCAAAAAAAAGGTTAAACCGGTTAAACATGCATTGATTGTTGTACAGTCACCAAATGGATTGTGTTCTTTATTGTAAGAACAATTGATTTTAAAAACATATTTTTTAACATATTGCATTTGGTTCAGATTTAGTTTGGCATCTAAATGCTTTAATTGTGTGGAATCAGTTTGATTTGATTAAGTGTTTACAAAGTGGATGTACTCCGTGAAATCAAAGGATTTTAATGTTTGGATTTATTCGTCTGACCTAATTTAAGGAATAAAAAATTCTTGTATTCCAATTTCCTGATTTCAACAGTGTTTAATAACATATTTAAAATATGAGTTTAATATGATCTATTTCAGAAATGAATTTTGCAAGGGAAGGTATTTACGGAGTATCTTAAAACAACAACTGCAATTTTCTGCCCTTGATTATTTTATTTTTTGTCTTGTATTGTAAAACTAATATCTTCTCAACAGAATTCAAGATGCTCACTGGATCAAATATATGGTTTTAGTGATTGTTAGGCACTCCTGTGCTTAGGTGAATTTTCTGTGTAATAGGTGTACTTTGTAACTGTTAGAACCCTCAAGTTCAATCGGTAATTTTGACGTATATTAGAGAACGATAGATGAAAAAAAGAAAATACAGTTTGAGACACTTAAAGCAGTCTCCTCTCCCAAGTCTATTTCCAGTCCAAAGTCTGCCTGCCCTCCCCCTCTTCTATTCCTTCTATTTATTCTTTTCCAATGAGGCTTCCCTCAATCTATCTAATTACTTGGTCCAACCCAGTATAACATTTTATTAAAATATTAAGCCCATAAGTCCAGGTCTCTATCATCACTCCCCCTTTGACAACCACCTTGTCCTCAACCTTGACCTTCAACTTCATCTTCATCCTTGCGCCTCTACCTTCCCAGTATCTCACGGATTTCTGAACCCATAGCTTCCTGATTTGAGCCTTCATCATCACTCCATCCATAGCCAGAAAGAGCATAGCAAGAAAGAGCAGAGGCAAGGACTTTGTTGCATACTGCTCCACAATGTTGCAGAGGTTAAAATCTCTCAGCAACTGCTGAAACCTTACTGCTGCTTTATAGTACATCTGCACCACCTCTATCAATTTCTGAGATATGAGATTAAGAGTGGCCCCAGACTTCAGTAATATCAGAATCTGTTTGCTTTCCTTGTTCGTCTGTAGCTCTCCTTGTACCGTGAAGGTTCTAGGGAATATGAGTCCCTCTTTGCTTAGGGCAGATGGTTGCAAGTGTTTCACCTCTCCCTCAATTTCCTCTTCAAGATCAGGCCTGTGATCTCTTGATAACTCAAGTGCCTTATTCTTCCTATATAGGACACAACGAGAATCGCCTACATTTGCAACTATAAATGCTTGAAATTCATTTTGACCCAAGTCTGGTTGAAACCTTCTGATCCCTGAATCCTTCAGATCATCTGCACCTCCTTGATTGATACTGACAGTATCATAAGTTGCATAAAAAACATAAAAATTTGTCAAATGCTCCACATTTTGTGCCTCCAAGATATAGTCATTCTCTTTAAACATATGCATACACTCGTGCAGCTCCACAGCGCTCAATGTTGCTGCCATCAGATTTCAGAATATATAACAGCCAAAGCACCGAGTCTGGGAAATTTTCTTCTCTCATTTCCCATATAAAAGAGCCCATAGCTCTTGGAGCAACAGAATAAACCTCTGGAGTAGGATATTGAAGAACTTCAGGTGCAAATCTACCTTCAAACAGCCCTCTACTTGTTTCAGGATCTCCATATGTATTTATGGCAAATACGCAGTAGTGCAACCACCTGCCTACAGAATATATCCTTCCTTGATTTGCTCGCTCGTGTACCTTAACAGTTTTATCCATCAAACCCATCTGTGCCTCGTGATTTGCATATTTCTTCCAGTCAACAAAAAATGCATACTTCTTCATAAAGTTCCCCTCTGCTACTTTCTCAGTTTCCTCTATTCGTGCAGTCCAGGCACCAAAATCTAGAAAATTGGTTCTCACAAGGCTCCCTAATCTTCCCTCTTCATGATATATTGCAAAACCATCTACTGGCATACCTTTAACATTTTCACCAATTATTAAAGCATCTGGGAAGAGGCCAGGATTGAGATTATTGTCAATCATTAGAAACATGTCAGCGTCAACATCAGTAACATCACCAATCTTTTCCTTCCAATTCTCAGTAATTCCAAGACTGGATAACCACTCCAAACCCCGAATTAGATCAGTGCCTCCCAAGTCCAACAAGTAAAAGTCCTGTATAATCATGAAGTTCTGGATCCAAAATTGCAAGCTTTCACAGATGCCCCGATAAGAAATTTTTTCTTCAATTCCCAACTCCACTTGGAATCGTCTCAGTCCCCCCTTCCATGTCTGGCTTGATCCTGGGATTGCCCCAGCCTTGCTATCAGATGTTACTTTGTTCCCCAAAGTGTTGTGACTGGAATTTCTCCTCCATTTCAGGCCTTCCCCTCCATTCAGTGGTTTGCTCAACATACCCCTCTTGTTTTTCCAACCTCTTTTGTCCTTGTTAGCAGCATTTTTTTCTTCAAGGAGAAGGGCCCTGTCCATCAAGTCAACCAAATTTCGTGAATGATACAGTTTAAAGTCGGCTCTAATCTCTTCCCGTAATCCATTCATGAATATACTTTTAAGCATCTCAGCTCGCATTTCCTGCTTTAACCTATTAATGAAAATGTCTTTAAACATCTCAGAATCCATGAATCTCATAGAAGTTATCACCAATTCATATATCTCGTCATCTGATCCCTTTCGGTTCAAGTATTTTTGAGAATTTGGGAATAGGAGGGACACCAGAGTCAGAGTTGATACTTCTTCAGTAGGTGAAACTTTTGAGATACAATGATCACAGTCCACCAGCAAATAACAGTATCCCCTCACCTGCTATGCATTCTCATCACCCCAACTTCCTGCTTGTTTTTCCACAACTTTGATTACCTTAACTAGTGCTTGTTCTATAATGTTCTGCTTCATCATGGAAACCCCTTCTCTTTTGCGGATGATCTTATTGTTTTTTCCAATGCTGAAAAAAAACTCTTACTCTGTTAAAAAAGATTATTACTGATTATGAAAGTTATTCTGGGCAGCTAATTAGTAAGGATAAAAGCTTTTACATTGTTTCCAAGCATGCTACAAACCATTCTAACACTATCCTTGATAATATCTTCAATATCAAGAAGGGTACTTTTCCTTTTACCTATCTTGGTTCTACCATCTTTACTGGAAGGCCCCTAAATGCTTATTATGAGCACATCATTACTAAGCTTGGTAATAGGTTAGCTGGTTGGAAACATAAACTGCTTTCTCCTGGGGGTAGAATTGTCCTTATTAAGAACGTTCTCAGTACTGTCCCTCTTTATTATATGGCCACCTCCCTCCTTCCCAGAACCATTATTCAAAAAATTGAGAAGAAACTTTCTAAGTTTCTGTGGGATAATCTTGGGAATAACCATAAGCATGTGTGGCGTGCGTGGCGTAAGTGTTGTTACCCTGTTAATAAGAATGGTTTGGGTCTTCGTAGTCTACACCATATTCAAAAGACCTTTTTCCTTGAGCTTCATTGGAAGATAAAAACAACATTGGTCTTTGGGCTAATTGGGTTAATGCTCTCAGTGATACTAACCGTTCGATTATGGGTAAAGCCCTTAGTTATGTTTGTCATATTTTTGATGAAAACTGTTGTATTCAGGTTAATGATGGCTCCAGCTCTTTCTGGTTTGATAATTGGTGTGACATTGGCCCTCTTTATCTTCTTTTTGATGATATTCCTCTCAACCTTAGCCAATTTACCATAAGGGAGGCTATGCCCGACAACAACCTTATCCTCCCTCCCTTATACAATACCTTGCCAAGATACCTCAGGGATCAAATCACAACTAGCAAAATTTAATACACTGATAGGGTGGATGGCTACCTTTGGAAACCTAACCCAAATGGCAATTTCAGCTTTTATAGCGCCTATGATGTGATTAGGCCTAGAATGACGATTACATCTTCTTCCAAATTTGTGTAGAATAGCACGACTCCAAAAAAAATTCCTTTTTAATATGGAAGCTTGAAAACTGTTTATTACCCTTTGAAAATCAATTAAACCATTTTGGGATTTCTGGCCCCTTCAAATGCCCTATGTGCTGTACTAATGATACCATTGATCATTTTTTCCTGGTTTGTAATTTCACAAAAGCTGTCTGGAAGCACTTTGAAACCATTTTTAACTTTACTCCCAGACACACTAATGTTATACATAACTACATTTTGGGGTGGTACGAGGACTTCAAGGGTAATGTTGAGGACCTTAACCATGTTATTCCAAACACCGTCATATGGAATCTCTGGAAGATTCGTAATAGGTTCATCTATGATAATAAAAGGCCAACCTTCTCGAGGCAATCCGTGCTATAAAGGTTGATATCTTTGCCAGTTCAAATGCATAGGCGCCTATGTTCCATCCAAGCACCAGACAGCTGATATTCTGACCACGGCCCTCGGACGTGACACATTTCAGTTCTTATCCAGCAAGATTGGATTGATTAACATCTACACCAAGCTTGAGGGGGAGTGTTGAAGAATATATTATTTGCGTGTATATCTAGTTTTCCATAATTAGATTTATTCTGTCTTTACTAATGAGATTTATTCTGTACTAAATAGGAAGTTAAATCACTGTAATCTCTTGAGATCTCCTAAGGCAGGTCTCTATAGTAATTTTAATATAATATATACCTGTACATCATTCGAGGATAATTCAATATAAAAAAAACTGAGAAGGATTTCTCACCATTCCATTGTGTTAACCCTAATTTAACAGCTAGCATGGTGTAAAAACTGAGAAGGATTTCTCACCATTTTGTCATCTCCTATGTTAATGGGAATGGGAAATTGAGTAAGGATGATATCTATCAGTTATGGGGAATCTTGGTAGCATGAGATTTGATTATGTTCTTCCATCCAAATATCCAATAAGAGTTGACATTCTGATTCTAATCAGCACTGCTGGCCCTACTTTTGAGACTTCCATGTGTGACCTGTCGTTAAGCCATAAAAAGATTTCTCCATTTCTCACAGCTAGGGTTGGATTCGGTTCGGGCCACCCGGCCCGTGACCCGGCCCGGCCCGGCACTGTGCGGGCCCGGGACCGGCCCGGTCGGGCGGTCCGGGACCGGGTATGGGCCCGAACCGGGGGGAAGGGGCGGGGCGGGCTCGGTTCATCATTTTTGTGACCCGGCCCGCCCGGGTCGTGCCCGGGCCCGGGTCCGGGTCTATTTTTTTTTAAAAAAACTTTTTTTGTTTTTTTGCTACTAGCCGTTGAGGCCTTGGGGGTGGGGCTGGGGACAACCCAAACGGCTATATAGCCGTTGGGTGGGGTAAAGGGGGGGTCCGGGGGGTTGGCTGGTAGGGGGGGTAAAAAAACCTATAAATACTCCTATTCTTAAACATTTTTTCATATCTCTTCTCCAATTCTTCCTAAATCCTATTCTTAACTCTCTACTCTCTAATTCTCTTATTCTCCAATATATTATATATCTACTCTCTAATTCTCTTCTCCAAGAAGTTAAGATGGAAAATCAAAATGCCATTATACGGTATAATTTTGATAAGCAGAAGGACCCGAAGACCGGAATGTGGTACGCAATTTGCAAATGGTGCGAAAAAAAATGTATCATGGGGGCTTCAGGCGGATTCGGGATGACAATCAAGCATATGAAGTCATGTGACAAAGCCAAAGGATCGGGAGATTCGAGATGGCAATCAAGCATATGAAGTCATGTGACAAAGCCAAAGGATTGCAATTTTCAAAATGTTTATCTCTTAAAGTTTGTTTTAATTTTCAAATGTAGTTCCTATTTCATTTCAAATAAATGCAATTGAAGTTTGTTTTTAATACTCGTATAAAACTATAAACTATAAAATATAAATTATATATAAAAAAATTAACCGGCCTGGCCCGAACCGGACCCGACCCGTGACCCGAGCGGGTGGCCTGACCCGAACCGGACCTGTCCAACCCTCGGGCCGGTCCCGGGCCCACTTTTCTTGAACCGGCGGCCTCACCGGGCCTAGGCCCGGCCCGGACCCGACCCGGCCCGAATACATCCCTACTCACAGCCAAGGATTTTTTATTCACCACTTCATGGCAATCCTTTTCGACACAGAAGAGTTGCCAGCTAGTCAAATGGCAGAGACTATGGCTTGGTATTTTATTTGTCCTTCAAAATAAGAACTTTTGCAAATAATGTTTTACCTAACATTGTGTTTTATTTGGTGTTTTATAATTTATTATTTTGCTTCGGTTCAGCTTATGGAACCTGGAGGAAAAATAGTGCTTGTCCTTGAAGGAGGTTACGACTTGGAAGTATTACCTTACTGTGTCGGTATGTGTATTGGGAGATACCTTACACTTTCCCTCAAACCACGAAGTTGAACGGGATTCTGTTAAAAATCAAAATTTTATGGTAATCTTTAAGCAATAGCATATGTGAAATTGTATTTCATTATAATGAATCTTGATGTAAAGAACTATACAAGTAGCTATATTTATAGCAAAACTTAGAGCACTAGAGTTACTATACAAGACGGACTAAGCCCAATACAACTAGGGTTTCAACACTCCCCCTCAAACTGGAGCATATAAATTATATGCACCAAGTTTGTTACAAATATATTGCATCCTAGATCCTCTAAGAGAATTGATTAAAACATCTGCAAGTTGATCTGTTGTTTTGACATAATGAGTAGTAATATGTCCATTTGTGATTTTTTCTCGAATAAAGTGACAATCAACTTCAATGTGTTTAGTCCTCTCATGATAGCTTGGAAGCAATGTGCATTGTAGCTTGATTATCACACATTAGCTTGATGGGTTTCATGATTCCGTATTTTAATTCTTGGAGGAGATGCTTCAACCATAATTTCTTACATGAAGCAAGGGCCATTGCACGGTATTTTGCTTCAGCACTAGACCTGGCAACCACATCCTGTTTCTACTAAATCTCCCAAACCATGTACGCGGGGATTGTTTCAGGCCATATAAAGAACGATGTAATCTGCAAACCAAACCAGACTCTCCCTGAGCAACAAAATCAGGTGGTTGCTCCATATAAACCTCCTCATGTAAATCACCATGGAGAAATGCATTTGTAATATCCAATTGAAACAATGGTCAGTGGCTCATTGCTGCCATGTATAAAATCAGACGAACAGATGCAATTTTTGCAACATGAGAAAAAGTGTCAGTGTAGTCTAATCCATAGATTTGTGTATACCCCTTTGCAACCAGACGTGCTTCAAGACGATCAATGTTGCCATCTGTTCCTACTTTGACTGTGCATATCCAGCGGCACCCAATAACTGGTTTGCCACTAGATGCAATAATAATAATAATGACGATGATGATGATAATAATAATAATAATAATAATAATAATAATGATGATGATGATGATGATGATGATGATAATAATCATAATGATGATGATAATCATAATGATGATGATAATCATAATGATGATAATAATCATAATGATAATGATGATGATGATGATTAGGGGTGGGCATAAAACCCGAACCAAATCGGTACCGAACCGTCCTGTAATGGTACCGAACCGAATATCGGGTATTTAAACGGTTCTATAGATTTTTATCCCGTACCGAAACCGTACCGTTTGAAACGGGTACGGGACCGGTCTTAGATTTTGAGAACCCAAAAATACCGTCCGGACCGAACCATTAAAAAATAATGCATTTGAATTTTTTATATTTTTTCTATACCAATAGATCTTTTTTATAGACCAACAATTTTATACCCAAGTATGCATTCATGGATCCCTAAGATATCTAAATGTGTGTGTTTATATATATTGTTATTTTTTCATTTTAGATAATATATGTTATATTTTGGTCTACTGGCCAACAATCCAACAAGACTGCTTCGCTCATACCAAAAAATGTAAAGTCTGCCAATTGTATGCACCGGTCCCCGGATGGCCAGTTACTTTCTACACCCCGATGACAGTTGCCCTCCCGTTTGCCAGGTGAGGGATCGACTTGCTAGGGCCCCTACCTACTGCTCCTGGAGGGCTAAAATACATCATCTTCGGGATAGACTATTTCACCAAGTGGGTGGAGGCCGAACCACTGGCAAGTATTACAGATTTCAAATGCCAAAAGTTCGTCTGGCAGAATATCATTTGCCGATTCGGTCTCCCCGAACAGATCATCACAGATAATGGCAGGCAATTCGTGAGCAGGAATTTCGAAAACTATTTGGTCAAATGGCAAATCAAACATTCCAGAGCTTCTGTAGCATACCCTCAGGCGAATGGCCAAGTGGAAAATATGAACCGTACCATCATGGATGGTATGAAGAAAAAACTAGAGCACTGTTCCTCCTCATGGCCGGACCAATTGAATTATATCTTGTGGACATACACAACGACACCCCGAACGACTACCGGAGAGACTCCGTTTGCCCTTACCTACGGATTCCAGGCTAAGGTTCCAACAGAAATTCTGGTCCCCACACATCGAACGGTACATTATGACCCCGGGCATAATGAGGATAATCTATGGGCCGAAATGCATTTCATAGAGGAAAGGAGGGACTTAGCTGCAATACGAATGGAGGAATATCATAGAGCGACAAGGAGATACTTCGATAAACAAGTAAAGATCTGATCGATCGAAGTAGGAGACTTGGTCCTGAAGAAGCGGGAAAAGAGAAAACCTCTCGAAGGAGGAAAGATGGCACAGAATTGGTAAGGCCCTTACGAGGTCTGTAAAAAATATGCTTCAGAAACGTTTGATCTGCAATCTACCGAAAGCCGACCGGCAGGAACTTGGAATGTAGAGCATCTGAGGAAATTTTATCAATAAAACGGCTGTTGCCACCTCTTAAAAAAAAAGGAGGAGGGAGACATAACTTCCAGAGAGTCTCACCTCAGCTTTTAACATGTATAGTCACCCCGAACGAATAAATGACTTTCGTGTTAACGGTTTTGAGGGAGCCGCCATCTCAGCTAAAAATTTGACCCTGTTATCACGACCAAATAGAGGGATCAAAATGGCTCGGAGGGATTCACCTCAGCTAAAAGATTTTTTGACCCCGTGATCACGAATGATAAAGGGATCAAAACGGCTTGGGAATGGTGTCAGAACAAGTATTGTCAAAGCGAGCGACGTTCGGTAACATGAATTTGTCATCCGGGGAGGCACTGCTTTCAGAGAGTCTCACATCAGCTTGTTAACACGTGGGATCATTCCGGATGACCGAATGACTAACGGGTTAACAGCTTGAGGGAGCCGCCATTTTAGCTTAAGTAAGAAATCACCCGATCTAGTGATCTTGCTTACAGTTTTAAAGTGGTCACCTCAAACCCCTTATAGGGATGATACGGATCGAGGAAACTCTTCGGCATGCATCGGAATTATGGGTTTGGAAAGGAGAGAGTCTCACCTCAGCTTGTTAACATGTGGGATCATTCCGGATGACCGAATGACGAACGGGTTAACAGCTTGGAGGGAGCCGCCATCTCAGCTAAAAATTTGACCCTGTGATCACGACCAAATAGAGGGATCAAAACGGCTTGGAGGGATTCACCTCAGCTAAAAGATTTTTTGACCCCATGATCACGAATGATAAAGGGATCAAAACGGCTTGGGAATGGTGTCAGAACAAGTATTGTCAAAGCGAGCGACGTTCGGTAACATGAATTTGTCGTCCGGGGAGGCACTGCTTTCAGAGAGTCTCACCTCAGCTTGTTAACACGTGGGATCATTCCGG